CTTTGCTGGAAAAGAGGACAATGATTGAGGGAATGGAAGTCGAGCGAATGTTTCATGTTCAGCCTATCGAGATGTTGACAAAGGCTACCTTAATAGATCAAATCGCGTTGTTCAGTTTGGAAGTCATTAATTAAGATTCAGTTGTAAAATAAAGATAAAAAAGCCAGAAAAAAAATTAAAAACGTTATCGAACCAATAAAAATCTATGAAGAAACCTATGTTTTTGCTATAATTCATTAATTCATTAAATTAATTGAAATATTATTTATGGCGAATTCTTAGAAATTTTTAGGAAGGAAATTCCCTGATATTATGCAATCAATGCATGGGACTCCTCGATGAGAACTTCTATAATCTCCTAAAATAAACCGATTTTGATTGTTTTTTCACTCTATAAATGAACAATTTTATTAGTAAAATTTGCTTCGAAGATTAGTTTCTGTTTCATTTTCATAATTATTCCTCAAACTTATTTGTTTGATGATGAAGAAGCCTAAGAAAAATTTGAAAAATCAGTCAGAAGAAATCAAAGAGGAAGGAAGATATGCCATATCATGGCCTTGGAAAAGTCCTGAACCCAAAATGTTGGATGTTGGAAGTGGAAATCGCCTTACTCTCAACGAAAAAATCGCAGTGCTAACAGCTTTTCTCTGTACGTGGAAAAATTGAGACAGAGAGAAAATCTAATGCGCTCATTAGAAATGTGCTTAAATGTACGAATTGCGAATAAATATAACGCAAATTTGATAAATGAAATTCTTTCTTAGGGAAAATATAGGAAATAAATGGATTTTAAAATTGCTTATTCAAAACGAAATTTTTCTAGATTTCCTAAATTTGAGCGGTCGGTTCGTTCGTATTTATTGTTCTTTCGTTCTATTGTGTGAGGAAAATTCGACCGGTTGGCTTGAATAATAAAGAATCATTGCATCTTTTCGGCCTCACAAATTCATATAGGTATAAATTCAATTTTGTTTTTTATGAAAAAAAAGCTTCAAAGACTTCATATTTTGATTCTATAGTTTCTTTAAGCAATAGAACTAAAAAATTTTAACAAAGTCTAATGCACTGATTGGAGAATGGTACTTAATTTCATAATGAGAAAATGAAGTTTGGTGGATGAAATTCTTATATTTCTTGAAGAAAATACAAGGAATAAGCGGATTTTGAAATTGCATACGAAGTTTTGCATTTCACTGGCTTTTCTATACATGAGAGCCCGATTTCGTCATAATAACATAACATAACCGTCAGTAAAAAGGACTACATCGTTAGAGTAAAGACGTGCTTTGGACTCGCATACTTCCTGAATCCAACATATTATCCAACCTATTATCTGTCTGAATATGAGGAAAGGCATGTAGCCTTGGGCGTCCTCTGGAAGATCGTCGCATTCCATCATCTTCCAAGGCTCTGAATCGAAGACAGCAAAATCGATGAAACATGTGACGGTAAATTGTTGTTATTTGAAGCGATATTGCAACATCCTGTCTCTTTTAAAAAAACTTATGATCATACAATAATAAATAAACACACATTTAAGTTTAAATATGTGTTTATTTATTAATAATAATTATAAGTAAGTATGTTTAAATATTTTTTAGAAATTACTTTTATTAAAAGTATCACAAGTCTATTGAGTAAAAAGAACCAAATATTTCCATCGAAATATCTAATAGGTTGATTCCTTGATAATTGTCGCAGTATGTGCCAACTGCTACCTTTCTTGAGAATTGGGAATAGAATTGCTTTGCTCCAGGCATCTTGTAATATTTCTTTTTTCCATGCGAAAGAATACATTTGTTGAAGGTGAAGTGTTATGAAAAACGATTCCCAAGCGACCCAACCTAATTTACATGATATGGCTCATTGGTCTCAAAAGATGCTTACATGGACTGCAAATTTGGCAATATAGGCAACGGAAGTGATTCAGTGAATAGTGTTTACGATGAATTTTGGGAATAATGGTAATAATTATGGAAGTTTATCCACCTCAATGGAAAATTATAAATTTATTGAAAGATATAAAATCAAAAAATAGCAATTTTACATAATTCAATAGAATTAAATAGCGATGGCTTAGAAATTAGAGGAACATGGAAATTAAATGAAACTTTGGCTACGGAATGATAGAACTTTGCAGTGAGATTTTTGAGACTTTCGGGCATTGCATTTAGAATACATTGGAATATTTCTAGCTCAGTTCGCAGTAATAACCCACCTTTTTGTTATGCATGCTTTTTACCGCAAACGTAGCAAGTGACGTGGAAATATTAGAAATTTATTACTCTCTTCATCTTCATTAAACTGAATTTGCTAATAGTTCATTTGTTCGCCGAATTTCAACAATTATATTGCTACCTTTGCAATTTATTTTTCTGTAAAAAGAAATGGTAAAATTTTATTCAAACAAATTTCTGAATACGAAATGTTTGACGAAAATTATTCGGATTTGTGGGACGGTAGCAATCCGAAATTTTTTTTCCCTTTTCAGACATTCTGTGGATGTATTACATTTCCCTTTACCTCTCAAAATACTTCTGCCACATTACTTTTAGTTCAATTATAAATAATCGAATTATTATGATCGAATTATATTGTCATTATTGCTGGAAAAAAATTTCTTCTAGCACTTCTCAGTTGCGATTGTTCCCAAATTTTAAAAAGCTTTACAGAATGTGAGCAAATTGTATTATTTTTATCTTTATTAGTTTTTGCTTTTTTTAGTTTCTTCTAATACATGCAGGCAAATCGCAAGAGGCGTCACTGCAAATAGGCCTTCCTCGTCCTTGTGGCGAAAACAAAGTTTATTATGTGTATTGCCAGTGAGACATATACACCAATACAAGATATGGATGTATAAGAACATCGGAATGCAAGTGCATTCTCAATTTTTTCGAAGAGAACGGGAAATGCTTTCCGAATCCAACTAAACGACTAAATATCGATGCGAAGAATGGTGGACACTTTCTCAGACCACTTTGTAAAGTATTTTATTACGATTGTTTAATTTTCATAATAATCTTCGCTTTGCAAGCTACGGCAAAACAAATTTTCTGGAATTTTTAAGCTAGTGATAAACATAGAAAATCAAACTTTCAAAGTCAGACGTCAATCCGACCGAATATTATCTGATGAAAATTTGTGCATATATTATTCGAGACGCTTTTTAAACAAATTTCTATATTACCAGAATGAATGGATAGAATGAATTGGGGATAGAATGGCTCAGTGGGCTGTTGCTCCATTTGGAGTGCCGATGCTGAGGTTCAACTCGCTGCGGGAGTAAACCTGTGCAAAAATCCAGGTGATGCTAGCGACTCACCTTTATTTCTATCGCCAAGAGACTCCTTGGCATATTGCTCAATTACGACAAGCTAGTGGAGCGAGTTTAACCAGTAATGGTGGGAACTCTTCAAAAAAAATACTAGAATGAAACTTTATTTATCAAATTAGTATTAAAATTCTCGAGAATAATCATTTCACATTCATATTAATAATTTTTCAGGATTTATGGAGAAGCGAATCAATTATTCAAATGTTTTTGTAATACATCACTGACGCTATAATAAATACGAAAAAAATGACTATAAATCCTATAAATTGATCGATGTGAAATATTATCATCTATAAAATTGTTGACCAAGCAGTTTTCATATAATGTTGTATTATCAGATAAATACATTCATTCATGAAGTTGTCACTTCGTGTCACCTCGTCAATCCCTATGATAATGACAATTAAAAAATCCATAAGATTAAGGCCAATAAAACTTCCGGAGAAGATGAGATGGGCGAATTATTAAAATATTTCTTATCACCATTTATAAGACAAATGCACAAATGTACTCTCTGGTAGGGCAAAAGGAAATAATACCAGAAGGCTGGAGAGAAGCAATACCGCTTCCAATTCTTAAGAATTCTTAAGAAAGGTGAGGGGATGAGGGGACATAGTTCAATAATTACCTAGGAATCAGC